AACGAACGAAAAAAAAAAAAGGTTCTCAAGCCCATGATTAAGCCCATTTTAAGGCCCATTAACAAGTTAGAATCAGAACCTCTGAGGGAGAGAGAGTTTTGGAGAGACTCAAATGAGACGACTCTTATCTCCGTCACTTTCGCCGTCAATACTTTTCGCACGGCGGCGACTGCGTTACGGTTTCTTCGTCGATTCGCTCTTCTCCGGCGAAGACTTCCCGATTTGTAACAACTGTTTCATCTATGGCTTCTGAAGACGAAGTAGCTGTTTTCAATTTGTCTGATTCTACCCTTCTCAAGATCCTTAAAGGCGACATCACCAAGTGGTCCGTCGATGCCTCCTCCGATGCTATTGTAAGCATCTCTCTTTCTCGATCAATTCGAATTCGATGAAACTTGATTAGGTAGTGATGAAATTGGTTGATTGGTTCCTGTAAACACACATTACAATTAGGTATCTTTCTTCAGGTCTATTCAGCAAACGAGCGTATGGTAGGTGGTGGTGGTGTCGATGGAGGCAATTTTACCATCCTTTTCTTCTTCACTTCTCTCCAATTCCATTGCCATTGTGTGATTAATCTGAATGCAAATCTATTTTTTTTTGTGTGTTTGTGACACAGCAATACATAGAGCAGCTGGTCCAGAACTTAGAGCAGCATGTTATCAAGTACCAGAAGTTCGTCCTGGAGTCCGTTGTCCAACCGGTGAAGCAAGAATTACTCCGTGAGTTACTCGGTTTCCTTATCATGTATGTAGAATGAAATTGGGATTGTTCATTACTGAAACAGTTGGATTGAGACACTGGAAACAGGGGTTTTAACTTGCCTGCATCTCGTGTGATTCACACCGTTGGACCAATCTATGACTCAGATGTCAACCCGAAAGAATCCCTCGCAAATTCGTACAAGTAAGTGTAAACGCAGTTTCTCTTGTTTACTCTACTTAAGACATGTTTACTTTGAACAAAGTGTTCATCTCTCTGCTTTTTATAGAAATAGTTTGAGAGTGGCAAAGGCAAACAACATCAAGTACATTGCATTTCCTGCCATATCTTGTGGGAGTTACGGGTAAAGTCAGTCCCAATCGTTATATTGTTTCCTTGTTCAGCTTTGCTCTTGACATTAGCGATTGACGACTTTTGGAACATATGATGTGCAAAGTGAAAAAGTAGAAAAAGGAAAATTCAGTGTCATAAAACCTTATGTATCCTAATGTATTGTTTTCTCGGTTAGATTTCCTATTGATGAAGCTGCTGCGATTGGTATATCAACGATCAAAGAGTTCGCCAATGACTTTAAAGAGGTAAGTGATAGTTTCTTCTTTTGTCTAGATTGTTATACTTCCATTGATTCAATTTGGAAAGTAAGTGACACTTTTTATGATTCTCTTGTTGTCATTCTTGTTAAGGTGCATTTTGTTTTGTTCGCGGATGCTAAATATAGCGTGTGGGTAAACAAGGCAAAGGAGCTGCTACAAAAAACCTGACATTTCATCTGAAGCCTAAGTACACCATAACTAATCCTTAAACCTCCACACAAACAGAGCATTTTGCTATTTTTGTTGATAACTTTGTGATTGTCTGTAACTTGTAATGGTTATCTTTTGTAATAAATAATTTCTTGGATAGATATGTCCTTTGCTCTATACATAATTAGTATACTAGCTAAACAAGTGCTACAAAGTTTAAAGAGGAAAAAAACAATAAGTATACATATATTTTTCTACAACTTTCGAGTATAAAAAGGTTTTTTAGATTAGTAAAGCAATTAGATGAC